ATTATAATTTGTGAGAGACCATTGGTCTTATTTTGTTAGATGATATTGATGTTTCAAACGAATGGCTGGTGGGAGTTTAATTCGTTTAACAAGACAGATTCATACAAAGAAAAAATTCTGTTAAAGCACCAATGACTACACCATCTTCTCTACATAAGATATAATCAAAGACTCAAGGCTCATTATAATTTGCAAGATAGCATTGATCCCATTACGTTAGGTGATATTGATGTTTCGAACATATGGTTAATGGGAGAAATTACTAGCTTGTAAAATAATAAAGACAATCTTGTCTTTGATGATGACAGTTTGATATAAGGAGATGTAGCTAGAGTTTCAAATGTTTGAGAAATGAGAGCATATATAAGACAACTCACATGAATACAAATGCCTCAAGAGTTCATTGCCTGTAATTGTCGAATCGAAGAGAAGGAATCTTATTCTGATAAAGATGAACAAAAATATATGAATTAGCTAGAAAGGAGGATGGTGAAAAGATTTACGATGTTGAGGATGATTAAGTGGATTCTAACGATCGTTGATGTTAATTTTCACCATTCTCACCATCCTCCTTTGTGAGAGGTCAATCCATTTGGATGATTATTATTCCAAACGATTGATAAGCAATAATGATAGTAAATCATTAAGATTATCAATGAATGTATCAGACATAATAAAAAATAGTAAATAAACAAATAAGGAACGGAAACGGTGAATAGAAAAAAAAAAAATTGGGGTTTCAGTTTTTGAAATAACAACAATAACAAACGGGAGGATTCAAGTCTGGCATATTCTGGAGAAGGGATTCTGAGTACGATCTTATCTGCTTTTTGTTACTATTCTCAAATTATAGGTTTTTTTTGTTTTAGATGAACTAAAAACTATATAAAACACCACAGATTAATCATCGCCCGTATTCTCTAGCAAGAATCCATCTTTTTTTTCTTGAGAATTCCATTCTCGGTTTGTCTCTTAAACCATCACACCATGAAATACAAAAGAAGATCAAAAAAGGCGCTGTATACTTAACACGAAAATGAAGATGAGCAAAGGAAAGAACGAAATTAATAAAAAGGGGACCTCCATTCGTCCGAGGAAGTGATGGGTTTGGGGCCAGCGACCAACGAAGAGAGAAGAAGAGGAGGAGGGAAGGCGACTGGAGACGGCAGAGAGGGAAGCAACAGCGGCGACGAGGAGGCGCTGAGGAGAGGAAGAGCGGGAGGAAAGGTTCGCCGTCAACACCGACACCGGATTCCAAAGCGAGACGACAAAGAAGAAGCGGCGGCGGAGACCATACGCAAGCCGAAGCATCTGTCTTTATTAGTAGTGTCTCTGTTTCAATTTGTTTCCTTATTTAATATTTAAATATTTATTTTTAATCTTCTTGTTAGCTTTCCAGTTTTGGCTCATTATATTTGTTTTTTTATTTTATAATATAATCAATTATCTTTCGCCGCCCACGACTAACCGCATGGTCCCCGCCATAGCTTCCAATCACAAAAAGATCAGTTCCTCCGCCGACATGGCCGTCGCGAACTCGTAAGGCTCACGAACGAACATAATTCGTCACCTCAAGTGAGCCCCACTTAATTCTTCCACTCGTACGCACGTCGAACGTACGTGCGAATCCGTTGGGTGGCGCAAATCGGCAGGATGTGTGGATTTATTTTTTTTTTTTAATTTTAATGATAAGATTATAAATGAGAAATGAAAAGTCGGCAAAGGGAGGACTTGACTTGCTAATTGAGGCAAATATGATGGACTTGTTGGCTTCATAAATATAATTGTTAGACATGACTCTGCTGGGGAATATACCATTGGTTTGTTAGCATATCCAAACTCACAAAACACTGACATTAAAAAAAAGCATCTACCTTTTAGAAATTGTATGGCTTCGCCCCCTTTTCGATCACAATCCGAAAAATGAATCCCTCCCTTATCCAAAAGATTCTCAAGTTATTAGCTTCATTTTCTGGTGCTGTCGTCTGTCTTTGTCGTAGAAAAAGAAATTTCAAAAGAATTTTTACCAAGTTGTAGACTTGTTTCTTTTAACAAAAATATGTGCTCAGACGAACGAGAGAGAGAAGAGAAAGGATAGTGTAGAATTCCTGTCCTGTCCCCTCTCCCTCAAATATTCACTGTTGTAAGAAGGGTTTTGATAGGACACATTGTGCTATCACCCACGACGGTAGAGACGTGAAACTTTAAATCCAATGTGGTGCATAACACACACGTGACGGGCAACCGCTCGTCGCCCCCTCCATACGAACGACATCATCATCATGGTACAATCGTCCCAGAAAGCTCGGGGTGACATCACGCGACGCTGATCCGTGCAGGTCGATCGATGCTCGCACAAAAGCTTAAGTCGACCGCCCGAGAAGCCGATCATAGTTAATTGACCCTATACGGCCAACTCATCATCACAGGTATAAAAGCTAACCCTCCTTTGATTAAGAAGAGAGGACACTCAACTCCCCTCTCCTTTGATTAGGAAGAGAGGACACTCAACTCCCCTTAACTCCACACATTGACTTGAACTTCAGAGGGGTCGAGTCCGAAAATCCCTCTCCCGACCTCTACCTTTGTGCAAGAATTGACAACAAAGCAACAGCAACCCGCCGAGAGAAAACCACGCTCGAGAGATGACGCTTGGACCTAACCCGATCCGACGTCAACATGACCCGAGCTTCCGCGTGGACAACCTTGTGCATCCAAGATTGGATCGAGCTGTGCTGACACCTCAGCCATTGCGTAAAAGTTCACCAACAGGTTTAAAGATAAATTGGTTCCCTCCCTCCAGAGCCTTAGTATCCTTTTCTTTGCCTGTCTTTTTTTTTCATTTAATAGATAGTAGCTCTTTTGATTTTCCAGCGAATTTGCCACCTCGCCGGTTCTCATCTTCATGCTCTTAAATTACAAACACGCTTCCTATGTTGTGAAGAGAGCCCAACCATTTCATGGTGGAAAATTGATCATGCATGTCTCAGTTCAAGCCCAATGAGTACATTTGTACGTAGAACTCAACGTCCCTATATACTTGCAAGTCACCCATGTTCTATATTGGGGCAGGGTTGAGTTTGTTTTGGTCCAATTCATGGACGAAACATAGAAAAACTCTCACGGTTTCATTATCCCAGAAAGTTGACTAAAAAGCTTTCTGCTGCACCTGCATTACCAAATATGTACCATAAGACGAGAGATGCAATGCAACATTTATCATAGCAGTGGTTCATGATGAGAATCTGACAATATTTAGTTTCTATTTGCCAAATCCCACCAAGAGTTTCGGAAACTTCAAATAGTTTGATCGCCTAAAACCAAATTTCTATCTAGTTGAATCACCCTGAAGAGTTTGTCTACTTCCTCTCCTTCTTAGTTGTCTTACATTATATTTACTAAACTGTCTAACAGAAGCATACCATTGCAATCTATTTCACCCTCCTCTTAAGGCTATTTACATACAAACATTGGAGATCTACCACAAACTCAACTGATAGTAACTTTACTTTGCCATCACTAGTTGAACAATATGGGATGCTAATCGTTGTTATAACATCTATAGTCATCACAAATTGCAAGACACTTTTAAGAAATATAATAAAGTATGCACAAGTAATTTCACCTTGCCTAGTTTTTCACTTGCAACAACTTCTCATCACCTCAGCCTCTTTATCTCCACAAGCCTGGTATCCTTTTGCAACACATTTTGTTCCTCATCAATTAATTCAAAAGATCTATATTGATCACTAACAGCATATTTAGTGCAGCCAATCCGATACATAAAGCTTATAAATATGATTTCGCACTAAACAATCTTTTCTGGCAGATTAACCAGAAATAAACATAAATGAAAAAAATAAAAGCAAGGAATGGGGCAAAAGCTAATTAAAAATTTTATTCTAACATCTATAAAGCTAGATTAATCACTTTTGTTCAATTTGGAGATATCTACTGCATGTCACATCCAGATGAGCTTTTGGATGTTGGATCGGGTAATAGAAATGTAATCTATCAAACGAGTCTCATTGCATCAAATCCGACTTTTGAACCACAAGAAGGCAAAGAAAAGTCAGAACATACACGAGGGATGTGATGCCCTTGTGATAATTGAAACTATACATGGTAGAAAATTGATGTGGTTCTTAACAAGGTTTGCCATGTTATACCGACCAAGCACATAGGTCCTACCTACTAACGAAACATATGGCAGTGGGGTAGGACAGAAGAAACATGTGGCAGTGGAGGAAGAGGACCGGGGAGGAGGAAGAGGAAAGAAGACGAGGATGCAGTGGTGGAAAAGGAAGGAGGAAAAGAAAGGAGAAGGAAGAAAGAGGAAGAGGAAAGAAAAGAATGTAGTGGAGGAACAGGGGGGAGGAGGGAGGAGGAAAAGAAAAGAGGAGGAAGAGAAAGGAAGAGTAGGAGGCAGTGAAGAAAGAGGAGGAAGGAAGAGGAAGAGCAACAAAAAAGAGGAAGTCGTGGATAAAGAGCAGGAAAGTACCTGAAATGAAAGACGACAACGAGCAGCAACAATGACAAGCAGGTTGAGTTGAGGAAGTGGTAGACCTCTTAAATTGTTTTTTCTTTTTTTATTAGTCTATCCGGACCCCCCAAAATGGAGGCAGTCTACATACCAGCCAATATACTGTCCATTTCATACCAATCTGGTCTGAGTAAATGGTGTTTCTTGGTTCTTACGCATCCATTGGATATCTACCAAAAAGACCAAGGTCACCAAGAGTTGTGACAAAACTAAAAGATGACATATAAGATACTAATAATAAATCAATAAGCTATAGATAGAAGCATGAACAAGTAGAATAACTAACATATAAAGGACATTAGAATAACACAATTCCTTGCATATGCAAACAAAGTACCAAATCAAAGAAAGTGAATGTGATGATATGTCAAACACAAGCTGAAGATATTGCCATAAACTCAACTTGTAGTAGAGTTCTTAATGTTGCTAAACCATGATGACGTAAAATAAACTATCAGTAGTGAATAATACTCCAAAAATATTAGTACTGATCTCGGAGCTCCACGAAACAAAAAAGTGAGACTATTCATTACCAATCATACAAAGACCAAATAATGTGTATCACTGTTCCTTTCCTAATTAGTCCTTGTCAGAAATCTATCCAACACAGATTATCTTGAAAATCAAAACCAAAAAGGTGCTACTTTCTAACCTGATATAGATGCCACATCCATGAAAATTCACCAGAGACCAAAAGAGGCTCATTCTTACCAGATTACCAGAAGAAATAACAGCATGACAGTTGGAGGAAACTAAAGAAATTTCTGATGAGAACTGAGAGCCTGCCCAACTGCCAGCAGTGTCTGGGACTTGATTAGCTGTTTAAAAGGACAACAGTAGCCAACCATGTTTCTTGGCGTGCTCTACAAATGTTTGGAACTTCTCCTCTGCATTGGGTATATCAAGGGCCAAATCATCAAGACCATCTCTAACTCTAGAGAATCCTTTCGTCATTTGATTGATCGTGATCAACCCTTCACCAAAACATTCATGTAGAAAGTCCAGGAGTCTATCACTCTTCTCCATAGCCATAATCAAGGTTTTTTTCACTACCTCATGATTGAAGAAAGGCATACCCAAGTCACGAATACACTGGCATGCTTCCCTGACATCACCTCCACTCTCGTACTCCTCCAGAAGCTTTACTATCTTGTCTTTCGCATCTTCCACTGCCCAACCGGTGCCACCACCCCAGCACCTCAGTAGCCTCTCACCAGCATGGCGGGCAGAAATAAGAGACCGAGCCATATGCACAGTTTCACTTCCACTGCAATTGGGAGTGAGCTTGTTGCTGATCTCCTCCAAATTTAGGGGTGCTAGTACGTCATCAATCACAGCTCTAGAAAGAAAAAGAGCTAGCTCATTTGAGGCATCCAAAATATCCAACGCAGTATCCTCAGCAGATTCCAAAAGCATTATGAATCCATTAACAATATCATCTCTTGAGAATATTTCCGTACTTAGTGTGGATAGCAGAACAGATGCCATCTCCCTTTCCCGGTTTTTCCTTTCCATGGAAAGTGTGATCAGTTTTTTGATAAAAACAGGATTGTACTCTGGAACAGCAAGGTCCTGAAGGCTTCGAATGAGCTCAGTTATGTCATCTGAGAGAAAATATTCATGTATTATAGTAACAGCTTCTTCCTTGTACCGCCTTAACTTCTCGGAACTTTCATTATTGCCATCCTCAACTGCACCTTCAGACTTGAGAAAGGAAGGGTCTAACCATCCCTCAGAAATTGCTTTAGGAACTAGTATCTGGAACAAGGATTTAGCAGTTGGAATATCAAGAGAAAGATCGTCAAGACTCTCGGCAACCCTAGAAAAGCCTTTGATCATTTGACTAGAACTGATCAGGCATTCTTCTGCTGCTTCTTTCAAAAGCTTTAAAATTGCATGCTCTGATGTTTGGATCTCCATCGCCAGAACCAGAGCCCGCTTCACAACCTCATGATGAAAGAAAGAGACCCCCAGCTCCCTTATGCACCTGCATGCCTCCGCTGTCTCTCCACTCTCTATATATTCCCTTAACAAATCTGTGATCTTCTTCTTAATCTCTTCGACTGTAATGTGCACAGTACCACCCCATCGTTGTTCAACTAACTCAGCATGGTGTGGAGCAGACAGATAGCTCTTTTCAGCAATTTGTATAACCTGAAATCCTTTAGAGGATTCAGAAAGAGTTCTCTTTGCTCTAGTAAGGAAGGCAGGAGGTAAGATATCATCAACAACTGCACGGGCAATAAACAAAGCTAGGACATCAACTGCATCAGGTATGTCAACCGCCAAATCATCAACTGATTCAAGTAGCATTACAAATCCATGGCTAATCTGAGCTGGACTTGTTACATCAGCATAAAGAGAAGAAAGTAAAACTGACGCCATCTCTTTTTCTTTGTCATGTCGGTCCATTGCCATAGAAATGAGTTTTTTGACAAAGAAGTGATGGTACTCATCAGAACCAAGGTCTCCAAGATCAGTAGCAGCCAATTGTACATCACCTGTGCTAAAATACTCCTCAACGATTGTCACCACAGACTTCTTGTAATCATCTACAGGGTCTGAAACAGTGGTACCTACCAGCTCATATGGTTCCTAATATTTACAACAAAGAATAATTAGAAAATGAAATCGGCCTGAACTGCATTTGCTGTATCCTCTACTAGAACACAGAAATATGCACATCAACAAAATTCATGTGTGTGAGAGAAAGAGACCGAGACTCGTACCTCTCCACTATCATAATTTGGGTCATTTCGGTCAAGACATGAAGCTGCTTCAGTGTCAAGGAGCTTACCCCATGTGCCTTTACCACCAGCACCATCTAGAGGCAAATTCAGATGACAAAAAGTGTGAAAAAATATGACACAAAATGTGCTCAGCAGAATAGGATAAGTATAATAGAATTTATCAGAATAAACTGTCACAGACTGTAAAGTTGCACTAGTGATATCATCAAAAAAGCTCAATGACCAAGCAAGTAGAAAAAAATAGAAAAAACAGAAAGATTTATTGATCTCTTAAACTTCTAACAAATCTGATATGCAAAGTTTAATAAATCCAAAACCATTTTCTTTAGCACAAGTGATTTCTATTAACTGAAAAGTCAGGATTATGCGATGTACATTCATAATCCTAGACTTCAGCAAACATAGACTACCCTATTACTCTACAGCCCAGAAATATGGAGTTCTGATTATGATAAAAAAATGTTAAAATTTAAAAGGCTAGAGTCTCCACATTGTCAGAATTTCAAATATTATTTTCAAACTCATATTTATCAGAACTTTTGCCAGAGCTGGATGATACTTAAGCATTAAACAGATGTGACATTTAAATAATTGGACTAAACTATGATAATTTGATCTACAAATCTCCTTACACATGCATAAGCATTAATAAGCACAAAGTGCATAGTTTTTATTTGACTCATAGCTGCTCCAAGCAAGTGGAAAAGGACTCTTTCCAAACTAACAGGTTTATGAGTATTGAAATTTTACTAATACCACTCCTCCAACTTAGATTACTCCTTTTTATTAAACAACACTTTGCAAATTATAAATGCTGTAGCCTTAAAGCCTTCTCTACTCCCTGTTTGAGTAGAGAACATCCACCATTCTGCTTCGACAAGTATAATCTCAAAATGTAAAGAATCTAATGCCAAATTGAAATTAATTTTTCAGTAATCTAGATTATGAAGTTTCTGTGAAAAGTTGAAAAACTAATGGGTCAGTATCTTGTGAGATACCTGATGGTTACAAAGATCACATTTTGAGAAAAAAGGAAAAGTGGGAATAAGTGCTACATGACAAATATGGTGTGAATGATAAACCTTATCAGTGAAGTGATGACAAAACATAAATTTTATTTATGCCTAATACATGGATTGATGAGTTCATTTGCATCAACTGATGGTTTTACTAAAGAACCCGACATAGCACACAGGGTAAAATCTCTCGATTGTATTAAAGAAGACAGGATCGATTTCCACCATTCGAGACCTACCATTTAAGAAAAATATTATGACTGCATATTTGCTGTTTTAAATGCTTGAAATTAAAATTAAGATAGTATTCAGTTGGGGAATAATATCTTGTATAATTTCTCCTAAGAAAGCATTAAATCAGATGAAGCATCAGCTGGTCCCTTTTGAAAATCAATTTTACTGATTGCCTGTAACGTGTCCTGGCAGTGTCAGAAGAGGCCCCTGGTGATCCATTTATCAGTGTACAAATTATAGGTTGAGCTATAATATGCTGCTTTAATGAAAGCTTGTTTCCTCAGGGAAGGTAACCTTTTCATTCTCTGCTCCCTCCCTCTCATACATTTTCCTTGATACTCCTTTTTTTCCTGCTTCTCTTGCTAATCGCCTCATTTTTTCTGTTTTCTCAAGGCATAATTCTATGTGATCAAAAACAAATAAAAGGACAGCAATTACCCTTTACCCTCCCTTCTTTACCTCTGCATATTCTATTTATTATTGCTATTGTAATTATGCTGGCAAAACAATTGGTCTAGATTCAGATCAGAATACTAATATACCAACCACATTGATAAGTTGTATTCATACAACAAGCAACCAAAGTAGAACAAGTTTTAAACATCAAGGCCATTGTTAATGTCCTGGCGATAATCCATGACATCATAAGATATATATGCCACTATCAGTGTTACTATCACTTCAGTTCCTTAAAGAAACAAATGAAAATAAAGCAAGAAAACAACAAAAACAACCAAGTATCAAAAACAAGTTTTAATGTTTCACCGACAAGCCATAAAAACATAAGGGCATGTTTTAAGAAAAATAAACACAGTGCTATATAGGAGACACATCCTGACAGCAAAACCTTTTAAACAAGTTTGCTCCCTCACAAGTTAAGAGAGGATCGTTATATAGTAAAATGGAACTTCTTTGGCCAAAAAATGAGTTATAGTCGTAGAACGTTTTAAGGAAACCAACACTTCATGAGAGTTGAAGTTAATCAGACCAAATAACTCTTGAAAGTATATAATAAAGACAACAATAATAAAATGTTTTAAACTTTTGAGTCAAAAGTGAATATTTAAAATCATATATACACTTTTTGTTAGATAATTTAAATTGTGCTAACATAACAAATATCTTATTTTTACAATGAATAGTTCCATGGGTCTAAGAAGTGATTATCAAAAAAAGAATAGACAGATATGTACTAAACCCTTTGCAACGAATGCTTGTGTAGACATAATAAGCACTCTAAAGAAACACCAAATGTGTAAGTAAAGACCAAAAAGTAATTAAAGAGTATTACTAAGCTTCTAAATGCCACTAGTCAAGATTTCTTGAAGATTCAAATCAAAAGAAGAAAAAAGGAACGCTACATTGGAGAATAATTATAAATTGACAAAAAGAGAATAGAGAAGATCCATGGTGTGAAGATGTTTCCAATGTTATCAAGGAAAGCTGAATGAGCATGTCAACTGTGGCTTAAATTTTGAACCCAAGCTTAATTGAGTCATACTGCAGTCCATACAATGCACCTAAAAGAAGCACATAGTGATGATGCATATATTTTAAGACCTTACCAGTTACCACTCACCATAGATCTAGGTGACTGGACTTTATAAATATATTCATTTATGGCAAAGCCCAATATTTGTGTCCTTTGGGAAGGTTTTCTATGCTGAGAAAGGAAAAGTGTAAAGACATTAGTTTAAACACTAAAAATATTCTTATGCTTTTGCTTTTTTCCGCTGCTTTTTCTTCCTTCATTCCTTTGTACCTACTACCACCCCTTCCTCTATTGCCATTCCAATTTTCAATTTGTCTTATGCCTGCATTTCTTTTTTTTTTCTTTTGCATTCTCTACTTCCTCTTCTTCTTCATTCTCTACCACACTTAGATTCAATTGTTCACATTACTTTCTCACTCCGCTGACCTGCTTCATTCTCTATGTGCTCTTCCTCAACTTTTGCCAAGTTATTAATGTTCCCCAACAATCATCGAGAATGATAGAAACCTTCTAAATTCATTCAAAAGAAAACTATCATGGTCAATCCTGAAAATATGATCCATGAAATCAAAAAGGAAAAGAAAAGTCAATCATGGTTCAAGCAAAGAGGAATGCATGGTTTGTTTCAATTTGTTGTCTTGAAAATAACAGATTACATCACAATATATATGGTCGCTTTCCACTGGTGTAATCATAAATATCTTAAGGATGAGATTCCATAAAACGTAAGCAAAATCAATGTAGAGATAGATGCATTTATTGTCTTTTATTATGGCCGAACTATGTTTTAATTTGAGATCTAAGAGAGCACGGACTGATGTATGCAATTTTGGCAATTGAAGCTAATAAAGAACAGTGCCAATTATTTAAAAGGCAACAACTATTTCACAATGTGGATCTAACTAAAAAGATCAATTAAAAGGAGAAAAAAATAGAAATGCATGGAGGATAAACAAAAAGAGGTGGAATTGGCTATATTTATAGAAAGTTTATAACATAATAGAATGCTTAGAAATAAGCAGCATATTTCAGAAGATATACTGTCAAATAGTCTACAGATTAGTTCATGGACCAAAACATCCAATCAGGAATTGTACATGAGTAGACAAAGTTCTGTATACATTTAATAATGTATTATGAGGGTAAGCAAGAAAGAACAATGAAAATTCAGATAGATACCTGGTAACAACATCTGGATTTTCAAGATTGCTCACGTTCCCTTGAAGAATAATTATACAATTCACTAAAAGATGAAATCAAAAAGAATTGCAGTCATGCCTCATCAACACTTGGGTGTTGTACCAAAGACATCAACATAGGGTTTAGAGCATAGAGATAGAGAAGAAAAGAGAGAAAGACATACAGTCACCCAAGGGTGCTACACGATTTAGATAAAACCAATTAAGCCTGTAACATATGGTAACAGCATAAGCACACTTGCAAACACTATGTGTGCATTGTGGGAACCTAGTTAAGCTGTATGGAAGGTAGTCTACACATACGATCTTATATGGTAACAGGATAAGCACACTTGCAAACACTATGTGTGCATTGTGGGAACCTAGTTAAGTGGTATGGAAGGTAGTCTGCACATACGATCTTTTAGGGGAAATAAGCATAGAGTAGGGAATATAGTTGCTCAGTAAAGCGCGCATCCGAAATTGGCATTCAGAGGCACAACTAAACCTTGGCACAAGAGACACTACGAGGACAAGTAAGCTATGAAGAATGCATAGTACACAAAGGTTAGGATAACTGAATTCCAACTATGACCGACAATTGCAATGGTGCATGCAACATCATCTCAGTGCTATTCGATCGAAGCAACTTAGGTGGGACTCGGTGAAGTACTTGAAACCCACGAAGGGAATCGACTTAGAAGGCAGAATATGCAACAGAAACACCAACTTTATAGAGCTTTCATTGGATGGAGATCAAAGACATGAAAGCTTGTTAAGGCAAGGCAGTATCATGTCATTCCTTAGTTTCCTCATTTAATGGGGTAGACTCATCTCGTAAGGTACCAAAGTCGAAGGGGGCACATGCATGTTATCTTAGGAAGGAAATAGATGGTAGGACTAAGGCTAGAGATCGACTCAACTTACAGCGATGAAGGTGGAGTAGAAAGGCCTTAGCATGAGGCAAGGAGCCACGAAGGCTAGCGCTCTTAAAGAATATGCGAAAGTGTTGTCATTTGAGTTGTTAAAAGGGAAGCGATGGGCAACATAGATTGTGTTGGAGGCATAGGCCCAAGATCCAAACACTAACACACTTTAGTGGACTCCAAGAGCTATTGGGCAATGGACTAGCTTAGAGTTGAACTTCCGTCAAT